AGAAATCATGCAAGTAAGGCCATCTTCATAGCCTGAGCCTAATCTTATCTACTGGAAAGATAACCAAGGGCTATAGCTTAGGTTTATAAGCCTTTATATAGCATTTCAAAATCCAGGATGATTTTGTTTTTATCACTTAACTCCTCCATTTGCAGGTAGAAACCATTGTTTTTGGCTAGTCTGTATATTGCTTTGCAGATTAGGACATGGGCTACTTGAAGGGTGCCCTTTTCTGTCAGTTGGGTGTCCATTTTATCTCTTCCTGGGGCATGATTCCCAGGAAGGTCACTCCATGACTGTATAGCTGTCATATTCAGAACTTGGGAGTAAAGACCACTGTTGTCTTTGGGGTGAGTTCCTTTGGCCAAAGGTGGAGCAGCGTGGAAGGATGTACCAACCCATGTGGATTTATGCAGTTGCAGTTTTTACTGATCCCAAGCCACAGGTTAGAGCTAGACTTATTCAGCAGAATGTGTGAAAGAGAGAAGCAAGCCAAAAATGTGCACAGGAGTGGGCAGTAGAGAGTAGTAGGGAACATACTTGCACTGATCTGTTCAGCTTCTGGGCTCCCAGAGCAAACTTCTCTGTCAGTTAGGATTTTAAGTCTGCTTTATGGAGACCAAGTCTAAAACCAAAATTGTTTTTACTCACAGGAGTAAAGCTTTGCTAAAAGTCAGAGCAGATTGTCAAGCAATTCGGGATCTGTGTAAGAACACTCCACATAACAACATACTCTCCATCCAGGCATTGACAGCTGTGTGCACAGGTGACAAGGGAACACAGTTTGAAATAACTGGAAGAAAATTTGAGAATGGTTGAGAATTTGTCTTGGGTAAGACTCACCTAGGAATGATCCTAGTCATGATCCTGTCCAGGTGTTCCTGTTCTTTCCTCTGAAGATGAGGATCTTCTTAAAGCTTAGCAACATGTTCAAAAGGACATAATGAAACCTGTAACATCATAGCAGCAAGCCCCTTATGGAATTCTTTTTATTTCTGTATAGAACACAGATTCAACTGCTTAATTCCAAATTTGTTTGGAGAAAGCATTAAGCCACTGCAATTCAAGACTCTTAACATTGTGTCTTTTGCTAACTTAAAAATAATGATGGATTGGGTGTCCCTTTCCTAAATTGTGTGTTTTATTTATTTTTTCCATTTCCTGGGAGCATTACAGAAGTATGTAGTGTAGATAAAGAATGTTTCTAGCATTATCTTTGTGCTTTTCATCAATGCAAATTCCATCTATCTTGAAAAGCATTGGACATTTTTACTTTTTACTTTTGGATATATGTAAATCAATAGAAATAAAACCAAAGTTGTGCCTATCCATCTGAATCCATAGATTTTTCCTGTATTTTATATGTCCTTTTGTACTCACTTTGCATGCGTGCATAAAATAATTGTATAAAGAATGCTGATGGGGCATTTGTTGAGAGAATTTATTTGTTAAGGGACAGATTTTCTAGAAGTATTTGAAGAACCAAGGAATAATGAAGGTCATCTACTGCGGTTTTCAAAAATTTCTAAGGAAGAAATTGAAATCTGTGAGAATGGGGAGTGAGCCCTTAAGAGGCTTTGTAAAGCATTCCAAAAGGTATGTGTCTGTTCTTGCACATTTGGACCTTCAGCACTACCACAGAATGGCCTGCCCACCTTATCATTCTTCTGTCTGATCTAAAATAAGAACTCAGATGCTTTCTTCTTAAATTACTTATTTAGTTGCTTCATGAGATGCAAATTCAGTGAGTGTCCTTGCTTACATCTCAGGAGAAAGTGTAATGTTGCACATTTAACTTACCCTATGAGGACTATTCACAAGCAAAAAGGCAAATCTCATTTGTTAGAATGTTGGAATGGTTAGAATTTGTCTTAGAATACAATAAAATGTGCTGCTTTCAGTTAAATAAAATTCTATGAAATTACACAAAGTAACAGAAGTTGGTTTTTTCATGTCTTCCATATTTTGAATAAAACCCTGCAAACATTGAGACTAGTTCCCAGTACCTTCCATTCTTCTAGTTAAATTACCTTTGATCTTGAGGTATAAAACTATTACTGCAGTTTTCCACATTAAAATGCTCAGTCTCCAGAGGGAGCTGCCTGCAGCATCCCACTGGGCTGGGCACAAAGCCTTATCAACAAGGGCTGGCTCTGCCACCCTCACCCCTCACAGGTAGCACCTCCCTGGCACAAACAGCCTTTTTAGCTGCCTTTTCTTACTCACAAAGAAAATGTTTCTTAGTGTGAGTTGGGATGACAGAGTTGGGCCCTTGGTGAACAAAGAGTCCAGGATTATCATTCCAAAAAGCCCCCTGAGGCCTGTATCAAGAGTTATTAACCACTGATTCAGCGCATAGCATTATTTTGTAGGCTTAAGTGGGATTTCAGAGGTATATTGGGTCTTGTGTCTGTGTAGGGGTAAATTTTGCCCTCTGTTATTTTATCTTATAAATAGCTGCTACCATTTCTCTTTTATGTTGTTGCTTAAATCTCTTTCAAAGTACAATATCTTAATTCCCTGCTACCTTTTTTTTTCCTCCTGATAAAGAATAAATAAATTTGAAAATCCACATATGACTGAACAAAAGGCAAATAAGCTCTGCATGGTATGTATTTGGTGAGGAATGCCTCATTTTGATGATTTCAGTCATCATTCGTTTGAAAAGCAGAAACTATGATTGTTAAGCCTCATTATTTTCAATGAAGCCTGACAGTTTCAAGGTTAAACAGAAGACAGCTACTTTCATCCCAGTGGTATTTCTCTTCAAACATGGGCAGCTCTTCACTGACTTGTTCTGCTCTGGTGTGCAGTGCCATTGCTTGGTCACAGAGTGGTGCACATCTAAACCCAGCTGTAGGATGGTGTGTAAGCTGTGACATCCAACTTGTTTTCCCCAAAAGGAGCCTCAATTACTGAAGTCATTCCCCCCCACACACACCCCCTGCCTTGTATAAGCCACACAATATTTCTTTTTAACTGAACAGTGATTTAAATAAGCCATGATCTCAGATTTTACAGGTTTTATGCTGTCTCCCAGAAAAACAATTTTCAGCCCAAGCCTTCTGTTTGTCCAAACAGTTTGAAATGTTTTCCATTGCTTTTATGTCTCAGAAGTACATTAGAGAGGGTGCTAGTGTGAAAGAGACCTCCAGAAAGAGTTAAAATGGCTGAGAAAGCTGCTGTGCTTCTGAATACACATGCTAGTGAAAGAGAACTAATTGCCATTGCTTTCTGAAATTGCCCATGGACTGACAGCAGATGTAACAGGGAAAATTCCCAATAAGAGAGGCTGACAAAACTGACTGATCAGTAACTGAGCTAAAATCCTTAGAACTCAGAAAACATTGATGTATCCATGTGAGAAAACTTACAGGAGCAAATAACTTGTGAAATCCCTGATTTTATACCTGCATGGACGGACAGCACTGAGTTATGGCTGTTTGGGTGCTGCCTCTATAAAGACGAAGTGCAGTAGATGTTATTTTACAAAACCGGGGGAAATGCACTAGTTGGTTAAGAAGGAAAAGTGACTATTGGAAAACTGAAGGGAGAGGAGCAGTTTTTCAGCAGTTGCTACCTAAGCAGCAGCTTTTTACCTGTGCATTCATTCCCTCAGAGTCCCTGTGTAAGAGCTAGAATGAGCTGAACTTTCCACATACTTTTCCTGCTGTCTGATGATTACATTTGGGTGGTGAATTCTTAATCTCATTTCAGGAATTAAGTCACCTGGTGAGTACAATGAAAGGTGTAGCTTCATCGTGCTTGGTGGTTCCTGGAAAACAAGAGTGTTTCAATACGTACCAAGCACATTAGTCATGACTTGTGGCAATAAATCCATGTTGACTAGTTTACCTGCACTGAAGTTACTAATGCATTCATGAGATAAAATGCATTTTGCAATTTTGATAAAGCTGTGTTATTTTTATTTCCTATCTGCTTTTCTCATGTTGTATAATTTTTTTTTAATTGTCTTTCAAGATAAGAAAAAAATGGTCAGCTTTGTGACAATGAATACAGCTATTTGAACTTACAGCTCTGTTTATCCATTGTGGAAGCTGTGTGTATAATATTCTGGACGTGGCTCTGAAAGTGTTCTGCTACACACTGTCTGCTTTTATACAGGTAGTTTATTTGTGGGAGAGTTTTCATTGAAGGATACCATAAAATACAGACAGATTGAAAAAATAGCTTGAATACATGATTTCTGGAATGCTGAAGATAAATGTGTGTAGATACAAAATGATGAACAAATTCAGTCCTTTGCATTTGTCTACATACATTAACAAAAGAAAGATCAAATTAAGCCAGTGAGATTGAACATGTTTATAGTGCCTGTGCCTTAAATGTAAGAGGACTGGGCAGCTCTCTGTCCTACTTACTTAGACTGTTAATTTTTCTGTAGTAGTATTGACACAAGAATCACGCAGGCCACCTTCAAAATATCATCATCCACATCCTTAGAAACTTGGCTTGTTGAGTGTTTTGAAAAATTTTTTACATAAAACACATCGGCTTTTAGACATAAATTTATAAACTGGACAGTAAAAGTATCTGTTGGATAATAGGCAAGATATTATTTAAGGGGAAACAATACTTAAGTGCTACATTTAACAAGAGCCATGGACAGCTCATATTTTTTAAAGTATAAAAATTAATTGTCCTGCTTACACCAAAGTGTATATTGTATCACAGGATTGCTGCACAGGGTTTTGTGTTAATGCCATACAGGGACCTCAGACACTCCATGCACTACAAAGGAAAAGTGAGTTGATATATATCACTGGCTGCAGATGGGTTGGGTTGTAGGTTAAAAAGTTTTTCGCAAGTTGTCTGCATTTTCCCTTAATGTCTGTCTTTTACAGTAGTGCTTTGTTTCTGAGCGTGACCACCACCAGGACAGCTTGGTTCAGTGCAAACACTGTCTCTTTCAGCCAGAACATTCCTAACATTAGCTTCCTTTTTTTTCTCTCCTCTCCCTCTCCCCTGCCCCCTCTCAGGTTGGAAAGGCTGGTGGACGTCCTGAGGAAGAAGGTTGGAGCAGGGACCATTAGGACCGTGATCTGATTGAAAGCTGCAGTCTAAGGAAGCTTTCACATCTGGTGACCAGGCTGCTTCATTCAGCACTGTGTAAACACTGAAGCCTTAACTTAGCAAACAGTTGTTAGAAGTGGGACACTCCAGCGACATTCCAAGCTGAGATAAAATCAAATCATAAATGTTTAACTACTTTGCTGCTGAGTTCTGTGATTTGTTAAAATGTTTCACTGCAAACATGTGTTTGTTTTTAACCAAATGCATTGTGGCACACTGTATTGTGAAAAATTATGTAGATGCTTATTTTAACAGTCTGTCCTCTCCATGTTAGACTATAGTCTGCTGTAAGGCATAGAATTTTTAAATACTGCAGGCTTCAGGTTCAAAATGCTGCAAAGCAGTTTCAAGATTTAAATCCCTTATTTTATTTGTGAGGCTGCAAATAGTCCAGTATTTGTATGTTAAATGTATTAATTGATAAAGTAGGTTGACATTCAAGAAATATCTCTGGCTGGTATAGTGGATATTTTTTCCTCCTTACTCATAGTCCATTGAATTGCAGGTAGTAACTGTGGCTACATCAAAGGGCAGGATAAATGCATACCTTTATACAACAGTTGAATAGCTTCTGCTAGTACATGGCATTTTCAGTGTACATTAAAAAGAAATTTACATTTAGGTTTCACTGGAAGTACAGCTTAAAAAATTGCAACATGAAAGCCTTGTGACATTTTACAGTATCTCAGACAGTGGAAAAAGTTTCCTGTATTGTTTTTAGTCACTCCTCTGTCCTTTTAAATGAGGGAAAAGCTCTCAGATTTCAGAAAACACCTTATAAATTAAAGAGTCACCTTTTCAGTGTTTGCCTCTTCTCATCCCATTCCTACAAGACTCTGATTGCCCTGCAGTGCAGGAGTACCATCCAGGTTGGGTTTGAGGCTAAACTGCCAATCCTCAGCTTTTTGTACACATGAAGTGCCCTAGGACTAAAAGGCTGAAGCACAGAATCATACAGGGAGGGGAGAAACTGAGGGCTGAGGAGGAAAATTTGGGGTACACAGACATTATAGACTCTATGATACATTACAGTTGAACTTAGAGTTATGTTTGTGATCCCACCATCTCCCGGTATGAACAGTCAGGCCAGTACTCATATAATCCTGCTCAAGAAAGCAGCTGTAATCTCTGAGAACCCCAATTCAATAAAGAATCTCAGCAGCCAGCTGGGCTTTTCTGTCTCCTCAGGGGCAGCCAACTCAGGCAAGGTGTATGTAGCTCCTGAGGCTTACACTTGTCTGCTTTGCTTTGTGTTTAATGTTGTTACATGGTTTTACTTCTTAATGCTTGCTTGTTCAGATGTTGTGATGGTGCAGTCTATCTGGAGAAAATGAAATTTTAATTTTAGGTGTAGGTGTAGAGAGAAACATTTTAATGTCTGTTTTTTTCTTTCAAACACTTAAATGTTAAACCTTCTTCAACTGCAGACTTAAGCCCCTCCTAGTTTCAGTTGACCAAACCTAACCTCTTGCAGGGAGATAAGTAGCATCCCTCCAAGCCACGTTTACCCAAGTCACTTCTAGAAACTTCTGAAGTGCTCCTTTTTGACCTTTGGTCAATCCTAAGATAGCCAGTGAGTCTGGAGCCTCTCCCCCACACCTATTCAGTGGGAAGAAATTTTAATGCTTCCAAACCAGAGGATTGCCACCCCCCAGATTCCAGCCCCTTCACCGTCTCCCGTGTGCTGCTGTTCAGCTCTTTGGGTGACTCAACAGCTCTTTGTCCTACTGTCCTCACTGAGCTTTGTGCACAAAATGGATGACAAGATCTCCTGAGCAGTCAGTGCTATTGAACCACTTCTGCTGTAAGGAGGTAGTGAGAAAGAAATAAAGACAAAAATGTAAGGACTACCATGCCATGCTAGACCAAAGCCCAAGGACTACCTTTGGCAATAACAAATAGAAGATGCCTAGGAAAGGGTAAAAAGTCAGGCCAGCTCTAGTGGCCACTCTCCCAACTGGTGTCCCAGCAGTTTGTTAGTTAAAGGCTCTCTAAGCCAGAGATGGTGTCTTTGTATTTAGCGGCATTTTTTTCATGACCTGTTTTTTAATCCATTAAAATTGTTTGTATCTACTTGTTCCTTTCACAAGGTCTTATGCAGTTAATGATGCATTGAGTGAAAAAATACTTCCTTTTCTCTTATGAACCAGCTCTATTCATTTGCTATCAGCTAGTTTTTGTACGTGAGAAATGGTGAGGAACCATTCCCTGTTCATATTTCCATGTCCCATGTGATTTTACATATTTGGCATCATTTCCCCCACTCTCTCTTTTCCAGAGAGAATCCCTAGTCTCATTTAAATGATCTGTCCCGTGTTTTTAATTGGCCTTGTCATACTAATCTGTTTTTTTTCCAGCTCTGCAGTGTTTTTACCAAGATGCAATGTGTTTTGTGCCTAGTGTTCAAGATATAGACAAAATGTGACTTTAATGGTTGTCACAATGATATTGTCTGTTTTATCTCTGCTGTTTGTAACCATATTTAGCATTGGACTTGCTTTGTGACAAATCATTTATTGGTATTAATATTTCTGCAGCAAAATGACTACTCTAGATCTCCTTCCTCAGTTGTAATGTTCAGAGTTCATTGTAGCCTGTATGAAGACAGAACTGTTTTCTGAATAACTCAGGATTTATGGGTACTGAATGTCACCTGTTGATTTAGCATTCCCTACTGACCATGAGCTCTTATTCCATCTCTTCTCACAGCTCCTCTTTAATACTCAAGTAGCAAAGTATCAGCAGCATCTCCAAGCTGAATATGGTGATATGAAATACTGCCATCTTCAAATTAGCCCCCTCCTCAAGGTGATTTCTTAGTTAAGTTAAACATGGCCTCTGGGACAAAGATCCGTGTAAGGCAATAAGGTATCTTTTCCTTCACTGTGAGAATGAAACATTTTTTCTTAAACATTGTTTTAATTTCACTTTGAAGTACTTATTTCTCAGTGTAAAAGTATTAGTTACTGCTTGGCAGCTTTTATGAGGAAGTTGTTTGCTACTTTGAAAATGCAAGTTTACTAAATCAGGGCTAGTGCTCCACGCATGAATGTGCTGAGTTCCTCCTTCCCCTTGGAGTGTCAAAAGCTCCTCACCTTTCCCCAAGTTTTTCTGTGTCCAAGTGAATAATCTTGTGAATGCAGGCTTCCTACAGCCAGACTGTATGACCTCCAGCCTCTTGTGTCCATTGGCTTTGTTTGGGAAAGTAGGATGGGCCGTGCAAAAGCCATCTAGCAGGCTTGATGTCAGATACATCTGATTGCAGGTAATACTTGATTCGGTAAAATTAAGTTATAGTTATGCTCCATAATTTTCCTTTTGACACATTATACCCAAGGTGAAAAAATAGTTCCTGACTCTGTCTTTTGTCTTGCACCAAGCAGCCTGGAATTCAGTGATAATTTAGGTTAGGGTGTTTTGTCATAAATTACAGATGTGGATAAATGTATTTTATTTGTAATTAAATCAGATGTGTTGATTTTTAAAATTCAGCTGGAAATATTTTTATTCTTTGGAAAGGACCATGGGAAATTTGCTATGTTGAGAGTAGAAAGATTCAAAACCAGTTGAGTTCTCCCTCTTCCTTGCTAACAACCTGGTGTGTGGTCTTTGGCAAATTCCTTAGTGACTGTCATTAAAGGTATGCAGTCCCTGAAGAGGTTCCTGGGCTCCTCCAGGGTGTTTGCAAAAGTATCTATGTGGTTAATGTCAAAACAGTTTCACTTCTTCACCTGCTAAAGTGAACAGCATAAATCACATAGGTCTGGTAGGGGAGGCCCAGCCTTTAGTGCCCTCAGCAGAACTTCTGGTCCTGTTGAGCCCAGCTTAACTTTAGCCTCTCAGTGTAATGAGGGCAGGAAATCTGCTCTGGTCACTAGAAAGAGGTGATAATGACAACATGGGTTAATGGGCTTATCATATGCTTTATTCATTGAGAACTGATTGATGCCTGTGCAGAGCTCTGAAAGTGAAATGAAGCCTGCTCTCATACAGCAGATAAATGCAATTGTCACTTCTGTCCTAATATATGTGAGAAAGATGAGATTGCATCCAATTATGTACCAGGAGTAGCAATTCATTTCCCTCCTGATGGAAAAACAGTTCATGATAAAAGGTGGCTCACCATAGGTGCATCTTACAGTGACAGCTGTAATTACTGGTCAAATTAGGGTCCCCGCTGTCTTGAATAGAACAGAGATATTCAGAAATGTTCTTCCCCTGTGAGATTTTGTGTCTTTCTCTTGATGATCCTGCAGCACGTTATGCATTGGGAGCCATTTCTGGTATATGCCAGGGTAAAATATGTAAATAGCATCATGTTGGCTCGGGATAAGAGCATTATTAATGCTTTTCAGCACTGTAATTATATTCCTAGTAAGCCTTCCCTAAGCCCTCACTAATTAACAATATTGTGACAAATCAACTTTAACAGAAAAGAACTGTGGACCTTTAGTCTTTTAGTACTATTTTTCATGCAGCCCACAGCTGAAAACTGGTGACATGGCTTTCTGCACTTGTGTTGAGAAAACTGCTGATACTGAAAAGTTTAAAGCCAGCTCAGTCTTGTTAGTGGAGTCCTATAGCTGAATTCTGTTTTGTTCCTCTTTAAATGCATTAATGGCAAAGTAAAATTCATTAGTTAATCATTAATGTTAAGGAATATTAAAACTGTTTTTATAAAGAAGCTATCATATTGAAATGGTTTGTTGATGTCAGTATGTTGTCATATGCATGTTTATTTATTTGTTTATTCCAAATCAGGAACATTTTACAAAACTGATTTCATATATAGTCTTACCAGGTGTTGTAATATCTTTAGTCCATGTACACAAATGAATTTACCATCCAAATGTCAGGATTTCTCTGTGCCTTCATTTCTTTCAATTAGAATAAGCCTGTTGGTTTTGTTGAGTTTTCTTCTTCTTAACTTCTGCTGCTGAAGGTTTTCTCCCATGCAAGAATCAGCTGTGAAGCACATGAAATCAGTGCTGGGCAGTTTCCCTTGCTGCGATCGCAGCCTTTCATGGGCTGACTCTTATCGCTGTAACATTTCACATCAGGTCTGCACAACTGGACTTTCTCTGTTTGTTCTTCTCATGCATTGGTAAATAAAATGTATTCACAAGTTCAAAAAGACAAAGTGGTGTTCTCATATTAGGTCGATTATAAGTCAGCTGTTGAGCTTCAGTGTT